CCCTGTCCGATGACAAGTTTGGGTGCCCACCTTCGGACCTTTTCGAGTCTATTGATGTCTTTCACCGCCCAGGGTCTCCAAGCTTAGATAGCGGACTCCAATTGCGGCCGCATGAATGTTCCGAAGATTTTGGTGGAGCAGTCTTCATTGAGGGCAGAAAAAGCTCGTTTGACGAGGTGCAGAACCGACATCGCGGACTTGGCTACCTTTACTCAATGCAGGGAGGGTTTAAGCGAGGTTGTTATCTAGAGTCCCACGTCCTTCTGGGCGTTCGCTTCGTTCAGTGGCATGTCGTTTGGTTGGTAAACGGTACCGTTTGAAGAACTGATTTTGCCGACTCGAAGGATGTTGCAGTTGCTCTCATTTAACGGCAAGAGCCAGTCCTCAGACCATTTTTGGAGTCAATTTAAATTTGTCTGCAAGTTCTCTTCTTCAGCCGCAGTTCTAATTTCGCGCCAAAGTTTGATTTCACCGACGAACATGGCGATACGGCAATCCAGTCAGCTGACGCAATCCTTGATGTAGAAAATGAAAAAAATGAGCCGAAAACGGAGTCTTCTGGAACATCGCTCTCAACCACTACCTTGACTGACTGTTTTTCGCTGATATGGATGGTTTACGAGCGGCTGATTAGGAAGCTTTCTATCCATGCCAGAAGGCTACCTCTTATTCCTATGCGGCTGAGTTAATAAAGAAGGCGATGGTGCGACACGCAATCGAAAGCCTTTTTTAAGTCGATATAGACTTCGTGCACTCAATTCCCTCTATCGAATACCTCAGTCCACCGTTCTAGACAGTAGAGCAAATTTATCACACAGGACCTACCTCTGCGGACATCTGGACATCTGAAACCAGACGGTTTTGTTCCAGGAACTGCATCAGCTGTTGCTTGATTATTTTTCCATAATTTTGCAACAGGTTGCAATAAGGCTGACCGGTTTATAATTGTTTGCTGAGATTCCGCTTCCACTGTTGTAGAGCGGTGTAATCCTCGTGGATTTTTAATCGTCTGGTAGGCATCCGGTCTCGAAGAATGTTTGGAAGAGCGTAGAGAGTGGTTTCGCCAACTCACTGGCGAGCTCTTTCAAAATCTTGGCTGGTACTTCATCGGGATCCGGTCACTTAGATTAGTTTAACTCTAAGATTTCCTTAAGAACAAGAGCCTCGGCGAGTTGAACAGTTTCAATTATTGTATCCACTTTGGTGTCGTCAGCAGGGTAATCGTATGTTGTTTCCTTTATGAAAGCTGACCGGAAAAATTCCGGAAAATGATCAGCTTTTGCTTCATCTTCTATAAGATCTATACCCTCAGCGGTCCTCAGAAGGGGTATCGGATCCTTGGTTTTGGTACTCTGCCTGAGGTAACTGTAAAAGTGTTTGGGGTTAACTGTGGCACGGTTCAGTGGGTCCACTTTGAAATCCCGTCTTGTAGTAAGAATAAGACCCTTGGCCCGGTATCTCTGAGTTTTTTACGCACGTAAAGATGCAGGAATCCTGTCCGTAAGCGATTTTTTCCACAAAATCCGCTTTTTGTTAACCTCTATTTTAAGGCTTGCGTAAGCCATCACTGCCCATCCATTGGTCTTTTGGTCATTTAACCTATTTGGATTTCATGTTTCATCCATAGAAGGTAGGGAACGGATCCGTGGACACCCTTTCTTGGCAGCCACCGGACATATGGGAGTTTTCTGGTCAGACCAATCTCCCCACCAAGGCAGGGGCACTCCTGTGAATGGTATAGATCACAATTCAAATAATGCATTGTATTTTCTTTTGAACCCGGTAACTGTGTCGGTATTAACAACATCGAGGGGAGATCATCCACGGCGCGCCTTCAGAGTCGATAGATGTGCAAGACGCCGTCTGTCCATTGCACCACTAGCTTCAAGCAGTGTTTGCGCATCGGCATATCGAGGGCCAGTTAGAAATACCGTGTGAGCTCCGGATTGTCACCGCAAACGATCACTTTGTACATGACGACTTGGTCGCCCCTGGAGCGTCGAAATTTGAGGGTAAACAAGTTCAGCAAGGTTCAATGTTCCGGATACGTCAGCCCCTTAATTCAGGTACCATTCTTGACCCCAGTCGTCGTACGTATTCGATGTCTGTCATGTCGCCCTTCGTACACGGGAACCAAGCTCATGATCCATATTCCTTGATCGGACAGATGAAGGTGACCATGAGCTTACGGAACATCTGTATGTACCAAGACGTGAAAGTTCTGCTGAACATCCAGAGTAGAGTCAGACCCTTTTGTATGATAACGCCTAAGTCACGAGTACTCCTTACAATGACCAATATCGTGTTCCCCATTGTATATGGCGGGAGGTCTCGGTTTCTCCTAAGCATCACGTTTACCGGTATTTTCGACCACTCTTGTATCACATTAAGATCATTTTGAAAGGCTTTTGTGTCTTCAGAGTTGTGTATAACACGCCATAACTTGAAATCATCCGCAAACAGAAGGCATGGAGACAAAATCCTTGATGGGATGTCCGCACCATATAAAGAGAACAGTCTGAGACCCAGAATCTACCCTTGGGCTACGCCACTACGAGCCTCAAAAGCAGAGGAACACCCCCCGCCAACCCTGACCCGACATTGTCTACCGAATACGTTACCCCTGATCCATCTAATTACAGCGCTTGGGATGGCCGTTTTACTGAGTTTGGTCAGGAAGAGCACGTGGTCGACCTTATGAAATGTCTTGCTAAGGTTGATTAAGGCCACATACACCGGTAGTCGTTTTTCTTTGGCTTCGCACCAAGCTTCACGTGCCACCGCGAGATTAGTGGTACACGATTCGTCTTTTATAAAGCCGCGTTTTTCGATCAGTAGGATTTCAGCATGTCCAATGTGTAAATCGATTTCGTGGCAATTAAGTCTTCTAGCACTTTCGCAAACACTGAAGTCAATCTGACTGGTCGATAATTCTGGGGGAGAAAACAGTCGCCACCTTTATAGCTTGGAGTTATCAAACTCTGCTTCTAGTCATCAGGCACCGTTGCATTGGCTAGCGTAAAAAGAAACAGTTATCTGATACTTGGTGAGATTATGGAAGCGAGCCCGCGAATAACCCTCGGATTCAAATTGTTGGGTCCAGCGGCCTAAGTAGGTATCAAGCTACTTAATGCATTCTCAACATCCTCAATGGAAATTATTATGCCGCTTTCAGTTCGGTCAGGAATATCGAAGTCCTCACTTGCGGACGTTAGTAACAAGTAGACAGTGGAGTATTATTCAGCTAGGAGTTCAGCCATATATAATTCCTCTGTTTGGAGCAAACCATCTGCATTGTGGAGACCTTCAATTCCCGGGGTTTCACGACTTTCTCTTTTCAGGAATGAATAGAATCGATTCGGCTGGATGTCCACGTTTTGCACTAGATCTTTTTCGTACGCTGCTTTCTTCTACCTCATTATACGCTTGCATTCGTATGTAATTTTTTTCTATGCCACTTTTGCCTAGGCTGTTCTCAAGATCATGAAGACCTTGTAGGCACGTTTTCTGGCCCGCAACTTGCGTTTTGTCTTGACAACGATCCATGGGGGTCGGCATGCTGCCCATTTACAGAACTTCAGGGAGTAAAGTCATCATAGAGCCGCTCAATTTTGTCACGGATCAGGCTCCAGTGTTCTCCTACATTAATAGAGTTGCTCGGTTCCCAGAATAGGTTCACGGCGCCCTGTCTCATTTCATCAAAATAACCCTTACAATATGCCGGTTTGTAGCGTCTACGCGTTGACTGCGATCCAGTTATGTGGAGTGCCGCTAAGACAGTAGCATGATCACTGGTGCCGAGGGGTGTAGAGACCCTTATATCAGATACTTTTTGTGGCCATTTGTAAATATCAAGTCCAGACAGGAGGCCATACCCGAATTGGCTATCCGCGTAGGCCGGGCAACATGGTGTACGAGATAAGCTTCATTTGCCATTTCTAACAACGTGATCTCCGTTTTGGAGGCAGGGCCTTCGGGGATTAGATGATACCAGTTAATATGTGGGCAATTAAAGTCATCAACAATGCAGACCCACAACCTTCTGGCATACTTCTTAACTGTAGTCAATCAACTGATGCCGTTAGCCTGAGGACTTCCGTGTATTACATCCATGGTTGTAGTTGCACCAGTAGTGGCCTTGACCAACGACCAGAGTTGTGCCAAACAGTTGTCTTTTGTGCGTGCGCGTTCTAACATTGATGCAACTAGGCCGTTACTAGTATATACCAAGACAACCCCCTGTATCCTACCATTAGGGTAGCAACGGAAGACTCAGTCACCAGGTACATGAATCTCACTACCCTTTACGGATTGAAAATAACCAGCTCTCTGCCCCCACAACAACCGCAGCGTGCTTCTGCGCGATAAGTACTTGTAGTTCAACCAGTTTGTTAAGCAGACTTTGCACATTTATCAGCAGAATGTCTACAGCTCTATCAGAGCTTCCTGGGCCATTAGCAGCAGTGGTTTGAGCAGAATCTCCTCTTCTGGACAACCCGAAAATTTATTATGCATAAGTAATTTTCCCTGCGGCACGACGTTGTTTCAGCCCTTCAACAGCCTTATGCTGTTTTATTCTGTCCTCAGGCGACAGGTCTGCCCGCATGGAAATATCACTGCCTTCAAGCCTCCAGCTACGGGTCAGAAGTAGTTTTGGAATGTGCTCTGATGGTTGATCAATGATCCCTGATGGTTGATCAATGAAGCCAGTCAGGCGGTGTTACAGTGGTGAACG